TTAAAGTGCAAGCAAAGTTTCCGAGTAAGAGTATAGTGATTCGTAAGCCGCTTGCCCTATTAAAGTTAATATTCTTCTGGCGCGGGTTCGAGATCCGTTGGGGCTTTTTCTACCGATACGTTTCTTTTTTGCACACGCTGCTTTCGTTTATTTTTAGTATAAACGTCGTGTTGTCACAGGAAACCGTTCGTGGTATATCACGAGACGGAATCCGTTAACGGTTCAGCGTTGCACACGTCGTGGTTTGCACACGGCGTGCAATCGCCCTTTTCGGTTAGGGCGATCGTCGATTGTTAAATCGAACCGTTCTTAAGACGAGCACCGTGCCGTGCGTTCATCAGATCGTCGTGAGTTCGCGTCCAGACACAACGTAACAGATCATTATGTGTTTCACCTTATATAATAAAGTCTTCTGCTCGTTATCGTTATATGTGCCTATACTTTCGACCACAGTGCATCTCCTATTGCTATCCCATTAACAATACGTCGAAATAAAACGGGAACACGAAATAACGAAATTTCGATCCGGGTCGAAACGGATCCAGATTCCAGTTCAAGAATCGAATGTCCAATAATCATATATAACGAAATAAAGTAATATAAAATTTTAAGAAACTTCATTCTCGAACGATCTGGAGAAACGAGGTGGATATTATTAAAAATTTTTCCATTAATAATCTCTGTATCGCAGAAGTTATGGAAGTTTAAGTTGAGCTATGTTATTATACGCAGTTCGTGAAAAGTGCGTTGTGGGGAAGCTGTGTTAATTAATACCTTCGTTATAATGAATACGTTAACCGAGATACTTGTTATAATTATAAACAACAGAGCGAAACTTTTTTACGTGTAAATATAAATTTAGCTCGTAGCGATTATACGAGATACACGATTAAATATAAACTATATAGACAGTCTTAAGGACTAACGAACTCGCATTAAAGTAATTTTTATTATCAATTATTGAGAATAAATTTCTTTCGAAAATGTAAAAAAAAATATTTGTCCCTGTCGAATAAACAATGTCTTACCTCGACATATTTTCTATAATTTCATTAACTAATACGCGTTAGAAGAAATTAGGGTAAAACGCGATACGCTGGTCTGCAACAATGTACCGTAATTCGCATAATGGGTACGTCGATTCACTGGGATTCACTTTGACCCTAATCTCTGTTCGTAAGTCAGCCTCGCAGATTACTCGTACTTTAGCGGGCCGCGTGATGTTTAAAACATTAATTCAATTGAGGGCAAGAAACGGGTCGAAGAAACAACGACCGTAGTTCTCATAAATCCCTAAAAAACACTCGAAAACACGGTAACAAATAATAAATGTAAAGGACCCCGCACAAATCTTATGGAAAATGGCACTTTGTTGGTAGATAACAGCTTTAGAAGACTAAAAATTTATTCACGATTTCGGAATCGTACCAAACATCAAGTTCTTATTTCTCACATTCCCAAAAATGAACTGGAACTAGAAGAGGAAGTAATAAATGGTTACCACTGCAGCTGTCAATCCGGTGCCAAAACATTGGGTACATGCGCACATATTGCAAGTGTTTTAAGTGTTAAGGATTCTAAAGGAACCTTAACATCGCGAGGTTTATGATACGGGCGTGACTTCTCCGCTATTTTTGAGGATTAGGCCTCCGAGACATTTTTTCTTGCTAAATTACGTTACGGTCATTATGGAAACTCCAAACTCCACACGGGACATGGAATCCTTGGAGCTTCCTTGCCTCAATAGCGATTGACGTATCGTAAACCCACGGGAGCGCACATCTGCAGACCACCGGGGTCTTGGGGGCTTTCGCTTTCCCAAATTGTTTATAAAAAGGGCAACGTTCTCGCTCACTCCTGCGTGGTGTACCTGGACACTGGACAGCTGGGTGGGCGGGAATGTTGCAAAATGCAGGAAACGCCCTGCCAAGGTGACAACTTTGAGGATTGGCTTGACCAATCCTCCTACCTGTTCACGCTGCGCGTTTTCGTCACCTTGGCAGGGGAAACCGAGCTTAGGTTAAGGGTAGCTTTAGGTCTTGGGATTAGATTCGTTTTTGATCAAGCCTTACAACCTCGAGCAGAGTCTCCGCGAGAATACCAAAATTCACGCGACATCCAAAGAGCAACGGGCTCTTAGTCAGAAGCAACGGGCTTTTACCATCATCGGTTTTCCCAAAGTATTTTGGGTGGTCCTTCGAGCCTACGGCGGAAAGGGAACACAGTAATCTGTGTGATACACACGGTCCGCGCAGTACATAGCAAGAGGGCATAGTCCTTCGCGGCCGAAACATTAAGGTTTTTAGGATTTGCTCGTCATCAAAGGCATGTCAAATATTCAGATGGCAATCTTCTAAATACGACCAGAGATGCTGCTAATAGAGACCATCAGGACAATATGAATGTTGGAATTCTTATGATCGAATAGAGAACTATAAAAACAGCACTTTTCAGAGCCACATGGTGTACAAAATCCGATCGAGTAACTTTCTCGCGTTGCACACTGGGTAATGCTAATGTCGACGGTGCCTCATGTTTGTACAATGAAAAAGAGAACCATTTTTTACCTTTTTGACGTTTTTTTATTTTGACTCCTGAATGGGAGTCGAAGGGTCAGGGGTTCAAGGGGTAATATTTTAGGGCCCACTGCACAACTACTGAGTTTTAAGGGGTCAAATAAATGGACAGTGTACAACAGTGCTTCTTAGACTCAAATATGCTGAAACGTGGTAGTCCAGAATATGGCGTACTATTATTGACTTTTGATCTCCCGTATCTCGGAAACTGTTCAATTTACGAGCTTGGGCCCATTGGATCTTTTCATCAAGATATAATGAGCTACATGAAATACATCATTTTCCACAAGATCTGTGCGGGGTCTTTTGAAAGCGAAAACAATTTCTTCGATTACAAAGACAGTATTAAAAGTTGAAACGCGCATAACATGCTCTATAAAGAGATAATAAAAACTGTTAACAAACAGGAACCTTTAATATTTTCTTTTTTTTTTAATTACGTTCACTGTGAGGCTGTTTTCCAAATCAGCACATCTGGTCCTACAATTTGGTACAGAAACGAAAAAGCGCATTCCAACTTACAACGTAAAGTGTTAGGTACTCAAGTATTATTACTGTATAAAAATTTCGGAATTTGTTGTCAACTAGGCTTGATACCCAAGCGGTTAGGATATTCTCGATTGAGTGAATCTATTGAAAAATAAGTGTCATTATTTTAAGCTTCGACTCGACGGACCGTATCAAATCTGAATAAAGTTCTTGTGTAAAATATGTTGTTCGCCGTTTATTCGATGAACCCTATTGACGGTCAAAGCTGTTCAAATTTATACAGTTACTTAAGTATTTACAACGAACTTTTATTATTAAAACAATTTGGATTTGAAAATGAATTTCATTACCTTTGTTCTTGCTCGTCTCGTTTGTTTATTTTGACTCCTGAAGGGGAGTCAGAGGGTCAGGTGGTCAAGGGGTAATATTTAAGGGCCCACAGGGTCACAACAGTGCTTCTTATATTGAAATATGCTCAAACGTGGTAGTCTAGAATAAGGCGCACTATTATTGACTTTTGCTCCCCCGTATCTCGGAAACTGTTCAATTTATCATTGGAACTTTTCATCAAGACATCATGAACTGCATCATATCAAAAGTTCAGCTAATTTAACCGATGGCCATTTTCCATAAGATCTATGCGGGATTCTTTCAATTCTGAATGTTTTCATTGTGTACATAATAATTTTAGATATTTGTAATATCGTTATAAAAATGTTATTTGCTTTTAAAACCGAACTCCAGCCATTATATTATCTATCGTTATTGACGGGGAAGTAAAATTCTTGCGTACGGTGAATTTGTGCTTCAGAAATGGACGAACGAATAGTTTTTAAACAAAAAACTGCAACGGACGTTCCATCGATTGTTAAATCAATACTCGTACGCGTATGAATAATTGCGTTTCGTGTTCGAGAATTCATCAGAAACTTTCGTAATGGACAACCGCGATCCTGAACGGAATTGCACACGTTTTATATGTTTGTGTGTTTTTCCTCGATGATACACTCCGTGTATATTTTGTAATCGTAAAGAATACTTACTTATACTCGTTTAATTTTCATTGATACTTTCTCGCGAAACGACCGCTGCGGAAAGTACAAAAGGTACGAACGACAAAAGACGCCCATTATCCTTTGACGTATTTATTACAATGCATTCGACAACAATGTTGGGACGGTCTTGCGTCTCTGGAAAGGAATCAATAAGGCAATTTTTATCACAAACAAGTCCAGAACGTTTGAAAGCCTTTATCTGGCTACGTGAAAAGCTTCGAACACGTTTCTGTTCCGTGGGCCGTATTATTTTAGGTCTTACTTGCCTCCGTGGCTTTCTTCTCGGCCCGAGCAACCTGTTTCTCGAACGATTCGACAACAAAATAGCTATCGTAGCCTTAATTCCAATCGGGAGATCATCGAGTATAGAGTTATTATTTTAAAAAATTGTTGATTCAGTGTCTGTCTCAAAAACAAATTCTTCATCGAAAAGAAAAATCCAAAAACGTATTAGGAAAAAGTAATAAGCACCGATTTCCTTGTATAACTGTCTTTATTTTACACATTTCAAAAATAATAGAGCTCGATGTCATTTCTGAATAAATTAATATCCCGCTTCTCATTGTCCCTCGATATAAAATATACATATAATAACTAGACTGATAGAATTAATGAAATGGGAACTTTATAGAGGATTGTCTCAACCCCTAAATATAATAATTCGTATGTCTTATATTTTATAAACATTCACAGTGTAATAATAACGTGTATAGTTGTATGAACCAACCAAAACAAATAACGCGATTGGTTCCATTTCGTTTCCGACATAAAAAATCGAACATCGCGTGCGTGAAACCGTCAGAATATTCCAGCGTGACCTGGTAGGTTTCCTTTGAGGAGGATCGTATCAATTAACCGTGTGTATTCCTTTCTGTTGCAGCCGATGCTCGCAGAAACGAAACGCGGGGGCGCCGGTGGAGCCGAGGAGGGTGAAACCGAGGACGGCGTGGAATATTACAGGCTGAGATCGTTTTCTATAACAGCGAACGGGGTCTACAACCTCGGTGATTCGTTGAAGAGCCGTCGTAGCAGAAGCATCAACAGTGTCACGTCGTCGGGCACTAGCTGCAGCAGCACCAAGGAGGCTAGATTACGCAGGTAACAAAACCGATCGCAAAAACAACATTTTATAGCGCGCTCTAAACGACTCTGAACACTCTATTCATTCCCTCGTACTTCAAGGTGTTCAAACACAAAATTACCCCAGTATATATTGGGTTGTTCGAAAAGTTATTTCGTTTTTCTTCTTCATGAAAAAGAACAATTTTCTCATAATATACAGGGTGTTCGGCCACCTCTGGGAAAAATTTTAATGGAAGGTTCTAGAGGCCAAAATAAGATGAAAATCAAGAATCCTAATTTGTTGATGGAGGTTTCGTTAAAAAGTTATTAACGTTTACAGCTTCGCCCGTAGAACGGCAATTTCGGGGAAACATTTCTGGCCACAACAGTATATTTAACAGTATATTTAACAGCATTATTAACAGTATATTTTCGGTAAAGAATTTTTTTCTCAAAAGTACGTCGGATTTTGGGGGTATGTGTATCCATAAAAATGCTTGTAATTGGCCCCTGCAACTAAAAATAATTTTTCCAGAACGACTTGAAAATTTTTTTTTCTTAAAAATTCGTTTTTCATTTTTAATAAATTTGTTTGACGCTGTACGGAAATGTTGTCTAATACTTTTTTGTAGGTATCCATGAGTACTACTTCCGAAAAAAATTTCATTGAAATATATTCACTATTATAGGAGTTATGGCTGTTTGAAAATTGGGCCATTTTTATGGGGGGTTTCTCACAGAAACAAACTAAATATTTTATAAACAAGCCTCGAAGTGTCAGCTATGAAAATATATAAAGAAACTACGGTTTAGAATAAAGTTAGCTGGTTAAAATTACAATTAACATCTCTGTTGGTAAGGGAACGAAACTACTTTCTGAACATCCCAATAAAATTCCTATTTTACATTTAACTATTGAGAAACACTGTTAAACTGTCACCTCCTTCCACCAACCCTTAAATATTCTCTAATCGAAAACTTGACCTATGAAATTTAGGTTCCATTGTTAGAGTAAATATTTTAATAGAAAAGTCAGGGATGCATGTAATTAAATGTGACTTATCTAATATGTCTGACCATAGCTCGATATTTCTACTTGAACTGGGTGTTCGGTAAGCATTTACGTAAATAGCGAAATGCATACGTGTCTGATATTTTTCGAAGCTCTATAATAAACAGAAATATACTCCAGACAGAGCAGAAATCATCGTCGTGCGTGTTAATTAAAATTAATTTATCCGTACCTTTACGAAAAGGGCACTCGAAGAAAGGAAAATATTATTTCGTACGCGAACAGGGACATTATATCGCGAGAGTTTCAGAAAGATACTTTTTACAATTCTCGTGTTTCATTTTATTTAGCGTTCTTATTACGTAAAATGCGAGGACACGTGGCATAGAAACGAGCGAACAATGAGTATATAAATGCATTAAAAGCGAGGTGGAATTAAAGTGCCGTTATTATCTCCGCGTCCACTGTACGTTTTTCCATACGCGTCCTTTTCAATTTTCGTCGCTGTTACGATGTCAACTTCCATCGATCTTTCTGTCACAAGTAAATGCTTTGTAGTCTATTGGCATGAAAGTCCTTTCGTTGCTACGCTGAAGGCCATCTTCGGTGAAATTTCAAAATATTGTCGAAAAGTGAAAACTGAAATTGAAATAAAACTATATCGTTATACAATGGCGTAATTGCGCGCGTTTTGAAAGTACACGTCGAGAATGAAGCGCACGAGTATGGAAATGATGTCGAGTTACGAGAATATAATGAGAAAAGTAACGGAACGGGCGGTGAGACAACGCGAAAATGAATGACACGATCTTCCGCTCGCGTATCCCCTGAATAAATAAACCCAAAGCCTCTGACCAGATGTAATTATGCTATACGATATCCCCCCGCCATTTTTGTAAACTTAACTTTCCAATCACGTTGCTTGAACAAAATAAAAATATAACTCTATATTATTCACCATAAAACGGTAAAATTCAAAGAAACATCTCACGAATATGTATTTTTGGTAGATTTTGAACGAAGATTAAGAAAATGGAAGAGTAATTTAAACGATTCGACAAACTTTCGACGAGAGTACCTCGTAACCGAAACCGTAAAATTAATAATAATTCAATTCCGCGGGCGCGTACGGTTACAATCGCGAAATGTTTCGACCTCGACGTCGAAACCTGCCACTTATTCTTCTTTTTTTTTCTCGCATAGCAATTAACGGGGTAATTACCGTCGAGCAATTACGCTCGACGCGGTGTTCGTGGCAAACGACGAAGGTAACGAGTGACGGAAGCCAAAAAGATTCCCTTTCCGTTACGTTGCCTCCACTTAAGGAGATTAAAGGGCCTCGCTTGCCTTCCTTTCGTGCATTTTTCTCCGGTTTCGTACCGTATAATTTTTCCGCCGCGATTTCCATCGTCCTCGAATCCCAAAAGGTTATCCCCGGGCTGCTCGTTGCGACGACCGCGTTTGTGGGTGGATCGCGGTGAAACAAGATGTAATATCAGCGAGTGCCCTTCCGCGAGTATTATGGAGCACGTCAACCAGCCGAGAGAAAAGCATCGAGGTGCAAATGACGAAAAGAAATAACTAACGCTCGATCTAGGATCTTCGAACGCGTGCAATGCTTTTCTTAAGATCGAATTCGGGGTCGTTGAACTTCTCGTGAACAGGTTTGGGTGCTAATTTGCACTTGGAACTGGCCCAACTTGGAACAGGTCGTTGCAGTGAATTTTAATTACACGGTTACATTGATAGAAAGAATTTATTTGCTCTGAAATCAATAGTTATCTGTAGAAAGTATGGATCATAAAAATTGTATGTGTTGGAGCATCCAGGGAATCGTGGAATTATCGGTTATACAAACGAGCACTCGATTACTGATTAAGATATATGTATATACACTCCTCGTCAAAATGATAGCCCAGGTGTGCTATCTTTAATTTCTCAATGATGCATGTAAAGGTTTTCGTCTGTAACGTATAATATTAAAGTATTATGACCTTAGAATATGCGGCTTCCTGGAAATAAGTCCCAATGTCGTAGATGTTTGTATACAACAAAGAAGAACTGTTCTATACTAAGGTCAAAATGATAGCACACTCTGTTAATATGTTTAGAAATTGCTTAGTAGTTCATGATCTATCAACGAGTAAAGATTACAGTACAATCTTATATAAATTTCTAAGTATGGGACGCGAGAAAAAATTAAACGAGTCTGAAAAAAAGCAAATTCTTGAACTAAACCAGCAACAGTTATTAATAGCAAAAATATCGAAAGTAATAAGAAGAAGTCGTAAAGTAATACACAATTTCTCAAAAAATGTTGAAGATTATGACAAAAAGAAAAGTACTGCTCAGCCGTCATCGTTATCCGATAGTGATAAGCGAGCAATTTTGCGGTGTAGCTTCCAACTCGCAGTTAACAACGAAGCAAATAATGGAAAAATCTAGTGTTAGTGCCAGTGTTTCAAGTGTTCGTCGAGTTCTACTATCCTGCAAAAATATTAAGAGGCTAAAATTGAAAAAGAAACCTGCGTTAACAACGAAACACAAAGAAGAACATTTACGCTTTGCAAAAGAAAGAGTGTATTGGAAAAAGAAATGGAGAAGGTACCATTTTCAGACGAAAAGAGATTTAACTTGGATGGTCCTGATGGGTTCCAATATTATTTTCATGACATAGGAAAAGAGACAATGTCAGCAATTCGACGACAAATAGGAGGAGGCAGCGTGATGGTTTGGGCCGGCATCGGTTATTTCGACAAGACAAGTATCATGTTCATCAATGGGAGAATGAATAGTATCCGATACATAAATTTAATCAAAGAACAAATAAATAATCATGCAGAACGCATTTCCGGACCTGATTACATCTTTCAACAAGATAATGCATCTATACACACATCAAAATTGGACCAATCATATTTTAATGAAAATAATATATCTGTTTTGCCGTGGCCTGCACGCTCCCTGGACCTTAATATTATTGCAAATTGCTGGGCAGAACTTGTTCGCGGCGTATACGCGAATGGAAAGCAGCATCAACACATACAAGAATTAAAAAATGCAATTGTACGCGAATGGGATACGTTAAGTCAGAATTATATCCAAAAACTATATAAATCGATATCAAATCGTGCAATAGAAGTAATAGAAAATAAAGGGGGTTGTACCCATTATTACATAAGTATATGTTTGATAAGTAATTATTGTTACTTACAATTTATGTTGATTATTGATTATTATTTTCTTATTGTATATGTGCTATCATTTCGTTCTTAAAATAAAACAATTTTTTTTTGTTACACACTAAACATCATAATATTTTTAATTATTTTATATGTCACAAATGTAAAACTTTACATGCGTTATTAGATAGCACACCTGGGCTATCTTTTTGACGAGGAGTGTATATATTATTGAATAATAAAAAGGTAATGCAAAATTAAACAAACGCATGGTCTTAAACGCGAGTCCACCTAACGCGATAGCCGCCGGAAGAAGGAAGACGGGAAAAAACAAAAGAACTAGCATGGTGGTTTACTAGCGCGCGAATCGCGGCGAACTTCGAACATTATTCTAACAGTATGTTTAACCCCTTGATGCTCACATTTTTCAGCCTGACTCTCCAAAAATGATCAGTTTTCTTTATTGAATTTGTTTCTAGGCTACGCGACAATGTGTTTTTTATTAATTGCAATGTCGTATCTTAAGTTTTGTATTTTATAAACGTATTTTAAAACCATATTTATCGTTATAAAGAATTTCATCTTACGAGATGCAAATATCTCGAGATTGAACGATCCTTGAATTTGTTTTTTGTAAGAAGATAAATATAGATTTCTGTTTGAAAAAAAAAACATAAATAATATTCTCGCGAGAAACGCAGCCTGTGTCGAGGTAACGAAAAAAAATTTTCCAAGGCGGGAAAGCGAAAGGAAACGGAGACGAAGTAGCGGGAAAAATCGCGTACCGTCGTATTTGTTAGATATATGGGTTGGCTTACGGTTTTTGCCACGCGAAACGAATTTCCTGTCCGCCTCCAAATGCCCGTGCCGCGTTTCCTTGAAACCGGATAATTATGAGGAAATCTACCGACGTTGCCCGAGAAAAAAAAATATGGAGGCAGAGCGGTATCTTTCCAACGAGACTGGCGGTTTCATCGCAGAAACGACACACCTTCGCCATTAATTTCGCGCAAAGAAATATGGCAAAAATGCAACAAACAATGTAATCGTAATACGGTGAATTTTTTGAGCCCTTCGCTTCATCGAGAGATTATTGTGAATTTTTGGAATGCAAATTTAGCTACGTAAACAACTTTTCTTAACTCTATAGTTTAAAAAGGTATAATATATTCAAGAAAACGAAACGCACGAACAATGTCGATTTTATTTCTGAGATATCGCAGATATCGCGAGAAAGTACGTAAAGATTTACGAGGCAACGTAAAGGAAAAATTGCGGTTTTATCAGAATTTCATATAGGCTTCAGCCGACGTCATTTTATATTCGCGAAGGTCAGTTCAGTTTCATAAAAGCGAAAGATAAAACGGCACGTAGATAAAACCTGCAGAAATGGAGCAAGCTGCGGTAAAGTGGATGACTGATGCTAGCACGTTCGTCTTTATAAACTGTTGCTATTCCTCGATTTTATTCGTATACCGCGTTACCTGGCTTCGCCCGGATAGATTATCCTGCATTATTGCATCGATTCTCCTTGGAAAGTGCCTCTTCCACGAATTTTCCTTCCGTGGTTACGGAAAAATGATCGCTGGTAAGCATTCGGCGATCCGAAATGTCGCGGTAAGTGAAACGAGCACAATTAAAGCGGACCGTCTGATCGTGCGCGCTACTGTTTCACTTAAAATTTTACTCGAAACTCTCTCGTGTATCTTTTTCCAGATAATTTAACTTAAATTTATGTAAAAAACATATTAAACCACGGAATGTCTACCCAAGCTCATATTTTTATTAATAATAAACGTTTCGACCATCTTCTTTGGCGATACAGTAATAATTTATTCCAGAGTATAATAAAAGTTTTTACATAAAAAAAGCAACGGTCAAACACATTAGTCGTTGCTCAGGAATAAGTAGAATATTTTATATGTTAAAAGAAATAATTGATCGCTGCTCGTACTTTAAACTGTACAAAATGGCGGGAACGAGAAGTCGCGCGTCGGTCACCGGTGAGCGACGCGTCGGCGAATGCGTTAACCTTAATAAGGTCCGAGAGAACAATGGCAGAATTCCAGACGAGATCTTCGACTTGAGTGGATGCGTCGTTTCTTCTCCGGGCGCAAGAGAAACGACGCGATGCGAAAGGGCACTAAAGAATCACAAAGAAAGGCGGGCGGGACTCGCACAATGAACTCTTTTTTTTTTTTTTTTTTTTTTTTTTTTTCTTTTGTCCACGTCGGTCGATACAATTCCGGGAGCCCCAGTCGCGTTTCTCACACCGCGTTTTTCTTCTTTGCCACGTTTCAGCTCGGCGTCGCAGATCTCCGGCATGGAGGCCGAAGAGGAGATGAGCAACGAGCGAGTGACCACTTACAAAGTCGGCATGCTGGGCGCGTCTGGCGTTGGGAAAACCGCCCTCACGGCCCAGTTCACAACCAGCGATTACATTTGCGCTTACGACACGTCACTCGGTAAGTCTGATGACGCCTGTTGCCTTCGAAACGCGAGCAACGGACGCCATAATCGCGCCGAACGCGCGGAACTCTCGATAGAAACCACCGTCATTTTTTTTGGCCTTGTGATTTTTTTTTTAATGGCAGGTAGGTTGTTCCGCACCGAGATTCTCCAGATATATTTATTCACCTTATAAGCGTACACAGTATTTTTTTCATCGAAAAATATTAGCAGTTGTGGGAGTTATAACTTCTAGTTTAATGGTTCTTCTGAAAAAGGCGCTCTCTTCTGTCTTTAGCATATTACAAAAAATAGTACGACTCAATATTTGTTAGAATCGCTGGTTTCAGCGATAAAAACATGCCTGCTGAATATTCTCTCCAAATTCGAAGTCAATCGGTCCAGTAAATCTTGAAATGTCATGGAAATTAGTTTGCAAAAGAAGAAATTATAACTTCCACAATGTTTAATATTTTTCGATGTAAAAAATACTGTACATACTTGTAAGATGAATAAATATATCTGGAAAATTTTAGTACGAAACAGCCTACCTATCATTAAAGAAAAAATGATAATCTAGATACCCCCTTAAATTAGGTGAAGATAGAGTTTTAATTTTTTTTGTTAAATCAAAGGATACCAAGAATGGTTGCCCTGGCATGTTCGATTCGTAATTGTGGTATGCAGATTTTGGTATCTGGTAGCTTCGATGGGCGGTCCCTAATTAGGGAGACAACACTTGGCGCCAAAGTGCGCTTCAAGGTATTGAAATATGCACAGCTCGCTGATCATTGGTCCATACTTCGTCGAAGGACGCCTGGCGTCTACACGTTATAAGCACTTTCCCGGGAGTATGAAGTGTTATTGGAAAACGTACTCCTTGCATCGAGAGGTCCCGGATGCGGTTACATTGAAACGAACTCCTTAGCGCTTTGGACGACCGTCGAGGAAGATGGATCGGAAGTGGCCAAGGCAGCTTGGGCAACTTTCTACCCCTGGTTCGAGCACATTAGTTATCTTCTGATCACCTGGAATCGCTTAAAGTGCCAACAACGGAAGTTCGGGACGATAAAATAGCGAGCAGCACGTGCCAGGAATGTGTTCACATTGCGTTTTGCTCTCCAAAGCCTTGGGAACACCTGCTGCTTTTAATCAAATTTTCAGCATTTGGACTAAATTAGGAATTTCTAACCACCGTCGTAAATATTTTTAGGGGGATTAAATAACGCATAAAGAAAACATCGAATCTAACGAAATTGGTTCAAATTTTGACGAGGGTTAATAATTCTATGAAAATAACAGTTGAAATTACAAAATTGCCACCCTAATTGAAAGCAGTTACAAGAATTTATTTTTAGATTTTTCATTCTTCGTGCAACCTTTGGTGGTTCCGATCTTTTTTAATTTATCTTTACGACGTCTAGACGGCGATAAAGTGGCTCCTCGAAGGACTTGCACCCCGTAAACCGAATAAGTGACTCGAGTTTATGGTCAATAGGGGTTGTTCGTCGTCCCAGTAGCCAGTAATGCAAATTGCTGTATCGTTGTAATTCGTGCTTGAACGTTGGAAGAATTTCGTTTACATCGTACGTGAACTGAATAGTCGAATAATGCTGATTGTACTGCGAACCACGAGTACCTTCTGCCCTTGCAAAACGACTTTTCATTCCAAGGGAAATCAGAAAATCGTACTAAAAGCGACCCTCTAAGCGCGTTTGGTTGCAAACGATAGTAACCGTTTGCCTCTTATTTATTTAAACGACCATTTACGAATGGCTTTTTGAAAGGAATCGAGGAATTTGATTTCTAATTCTTTTCCAACGTTCGAAGAACGATAGTCTGCAGGAAAATAAAGGAAAAATTCGATTCGACACAGAATGACGAAGTATGTATCTCATCTCGAGATAAGAGGAGAGATCGTTTATGGAGAGGATAGCATGCATTGGAAACAAATCGTTCCCAATCTGGGAAATCTGCTCGTATCTTGCCAAATAGATCGATGCTTCGATATCTCCTGCACGAAGATGATACATTCGTAACGTAAATAAAGCAGAAGAAGCGTTTATGTCTCGATAATCACTGTTATAACTAGTTTCACCTGCGCTGTTGATAATGGAAATTAGTTCTACGAGTTTGCTAGTTATTTCTTCGGGGCGATCATTAACAAACACCTTTAGCCTCTCGAGTGGCAACAACGTCTTTGAGGAATGGCCAGTTTACAAACTACGCGATGGAAGACGCAAACTACTTATGACAAGGTTTGAAGTAGCTTTGGAAATAAGGAACGTGAGTAATGGATTCTAGTTAGCGACTGTTCTTGAAATTTTCGAGCTACGAGAACTTTTGAGACCTCTGTTTCTGGCTTCCTGGGCACTCGTAGATAATTTGTCAACGGGTAAGAAACCTTGGGATAAGATGGCAAACTCATTAACGAGTACTTTGCGAACATAAGCAGACTACACGATAACAATGTCTGTTAAAGTTACCTAATTTTTATTATAGAATTTTATTTTCTCAAAAACGTACAATTGTCACATTGTTATAGTGCGCCATTTGATAATTTAAATACAGTTTTAAAAATACACTTTTCCCCAGTCACGTGGAACACTCTAAAGAACAGTCAACATCAGTTATATTTAAAACAAAAGGACAAGGTTTTAGCAGAAATTCATACGTTTGGTGCTCGAAGGACGGAAGAGGTCAGGAATCATTCAATTAGGCGCAAATATAGTCACTCGGTTCGTTAGTTTCCACTCTCGTTCGTCGATGATCCTCTTCTTTCTCGTTTTCGTCGTTAAGCGGCAGCGACGACGAAATTGGCGTTAATTTCCTTCCAGTGAGATCATTCTCATTGGAACGCTTACAATTCTTACACGAAAAGAACAAAATCGACCAATATAATATTTTATTCGATATAATATGTATGTGGCTAAAATAATCACTTTTCTTTCTCTTCGCCGGTTCTTCAATTGAATATTTTTAGAGCATCGCCAAAATTAGTATCCGATAGCTGGCAATATTCCCTCGCGAGTAGGTACGAAGTGTTTTACGATCATTGTGCAATCTCTGTGACGGAAAGCTCGCGTCGAGGCAAAGGAATCCGATTTTCGACATCGTAAGGTATTTTCGATGTTGCCTTAATGTCCTTCTTTACGGTTGTTACGAGTTCCGTATGCGACTGTACAAGGACCCGGACCTTATTTTTCCTTGTTACCCTATTTCCTCTGGTCTACCTCGAGCTCGTGTCTTCAGCGTCCATTTTCCGATCGCGCATGCAATAACCGACGACTGGGTTTCCCTTTACTTCGAAAACGGCAATTTTTATAAAAAAAAAAAAGAACCGATTGAATGCATAAAAGTACACGTACAGCGTAGCTGGTAAAGTTTCAAGCACCGATCTTTAAAAGAAACGAGCTTTCTTACTTTCCAACCTGGAAACAAGTTTTATTATATTCGAGAACAAATTTCAAAAGTGCACGTGTGTTTTAAAAATTCCTGATCGGAGCATCAACGAAAATTAACAGAGTTAAAAATACTCTGTAAATTTTTGGATGATTTTTTAAAGAATATTCACGGTACCCAATGTTGATTCTCCCGGCACGGTGATGATAAAAATTTTCAATTAAATGATCGCGCGAATGTGGAAAACTTTATTCGTATAGAGATCGATGCGAGTCGAAATTTTTGAGCGACAGTTAAAATTTTGTATAAACAGAATGTAGGTTGTTTCTACGAGCACGCAACTTTTCATGTCTGTATGGATAAGCGCAACCCGATGTGAGATTTATGACAAATTTTTCCCCGACAGAGTATAGCGGATGATGAATTATTCGTCGACAAACAGACTACGTAGTTCGCAGATACGAGAATTTTTTTTCCATAACGCGCTGCGTAAATTTGTTTACGCTACTTTTTGATCCCCATGCATGAGCAATTATTGCAGTATTGATTATGTCTGTAAGCGACGCATAAATACGATCAGTATGCATGAAAAGGCGAAACAAGTTCCGTAAACATTAATTATAATTCATTTATTTTAGAAATATTTCATTGAAAATGATCACACCTGTACGTACGACGTACTGTGATCGAAAAATGAAACGCCAAAATTCTTGTTATGGGAAAACTGCCACTGGTTTGGCACGAAACATTTTGCTAAATCTTCTTAAAACGACATTTTTGTATCCGCTGTTGCGAACTACGATTAATAAATACGATCAGATAAAAGACACCGCACAGATCTTATGGAAAATGGCCCCCGGTTAAATTAGCTGAACTTTTGATATGATGCAGTTCATGATGTCTTGATGAAAAGTTCCAATGATAAATTGAACAGTTTCGGAGATACGGGGGAGCAGAAGTCAATAATAGTGCGCCTTATTCTAGACTACCACGTTTGAGCATATTTCAATATAAGAAGCACTGTTGTGACCCTGTGGGCCCTTAAATATTACCCCTTGACCACCTGACCCTCTGACTCCCCTTCAGGAGTCAAAATAAAAAAACGCCAAAAAGGTAAAAAATGGTTCTTTTTTTCATTGTACAAACATGAACCACCGTCGACATTAGCATTCCCCAGTGTGCACCACGAAGAGGTTGCAAGATCTGATTTTGCACACCCTGTGGCCCTGAAAAGGGCCATTTTTATAGTTCTCTCTATTTGCCCATAACAATTTCAACATTCATAATGTCCTGATGCCCTCTATTAGCGCAGATTGACACTTCGTTGGTAGATAACAGCCTTAGAAGACTAAAAATTTATTCACGATTTCGGAATCGTACCAAACATCAAGTTCTTATTTCTCACATTCCCAAAAATGAACTGGAACTAGAAGAGGAAGTAATAAATGGTTACAACTGCATCTGTCAATCCGGTGCCAAAACATTGGGTACATGCGCACATATTGCAAGTGTTTTAAGGTTTTTAGGATTTGCTCGTCATGAAAGGCATGTCAAATATTCAGATGGCAATCTTTTAAATTCGACCGGAGATGCTGCTAATAAAGACCATCAGGAC